CTCATCCAAATCACTGATGAAGATGTTGAACAGTGCGGGCCCGAGGACCGAGCCCTGAGGAACCCCACTGCCCACGTCCTTCCAAGCTGAGAAGGACCCGTCCACTACCACCCTCTGGGTGCGGCCCTCCAGCCAGGTGGCGACCCATTTGACTGTGTGGGTGTCTACACCACAGCCTCCCATTTTCTTAATGAGAACGGGGTGAGAGACAGTGCCAAAAGCCTTCCGCAAGTCCAGGAAGACTATGTCCACTGCTACCCCTGCATCTAATGATCTGATCATAAAAAGCCACCAGGTGGCTTGGACTGGGAAAGGTTGGGAAACACTGCTTAGTCCCTATTGATCTTTGTATGCGCTGAGGGATATTTATTCGTAAATGCTTAAAAACAATAGCACTAAAAAAACAAAACAAACAACATCCCCCCCATCCCCCGAATTCTCATTCAGTCAGCTTAAAGCACCATCAGCAGACAAGACTGGTACAGTTTTTGGCAAGCAACCAAGAAAACCTTTTTATTGCTTTTGTATTATTCCAATTGTTTTGAAGTTTATTAGCTATGCCTGATCATAAAAAATAGTGTTGAAAGGAACTTTAGTAGGTCATTTAGTTTAACTCCCTGCTCAAAGCAGGACCATCCCCAACTAGATCACTTGATGACAGAATGCAGGCCAATTCCATTACTTTGAGAAAATGCCAAATATTTATTATACTTTGGAATATAAAAAGGTATTAAATCTCTAAGAAACATAGCTGGAAATTATATGCACAAGTTCTGAAATAGAACCAATACATTTACTCATACAAATATCTATACTAGGCAAAAGAACCTTGTTCCCCACAAATTCAGAAAGTGATTAAAAATGACGGAAGCTCATACTAAATTTCCCACCTGCCCAAGTGCAGGCGGGCTAGACCTGATAATCCCATGATGTCCCTTCCAGCCCCTAACATCTATGAATTTATGAATCTCATGATGGTGTGTAAGAGGCACTTAAATATTTTAAATATTCATCAGTGTTTTAGACAGCTTTCCTGAGGATGATTTCTCCAAGCATGAGCATTATGAAAGGCAGGTAGGGCCAACCCCATCCTCCTCCCCTCCCCGCCCCCCAAAAATAATGATTTAACTCTGAAGCTTACTGTCTCTCTCTTTTTGATGTTCAAGTGCTTTCAGCATGAAAAACTTAAGTATCAATATTGTGAAGTTAACAAACAGCCAACACAGCTCAGTTTACTGGAACAAGATGAACAATTCCAAAAGGACTGCATGAAAAATGACCCTCTGCTTGATACATCTATGTAGCATTGACCTTGGAATTCCAGAAGGATATTCTGTGCTAAGTTTGTATATAAATTAGCAGGTGAAAGTAACCAATCATAACAAATATGGATTAAAAGCAGCTAGTGTTTTATATGTATAAAGAGAAATGACAATATCTGAGTGATGTAGCTACAAATTTAGTAACGTGGTTTCTTGTGGGTTTTATTCAGCAAGTTGAAACCCGCAATTTCCATTAAAATTACTTCACGTCAAAACACTACGTATACCTCTTTCTTCCTACAAAGTATATCAATGTGTAGTGAAAATTATTAATTGCAAACTTTTTTGGCTTCGGCAACATCAAGAGACAGTTTGGACCTACCTTCCTTTCCCATCCCTAACAACAACTCATCTCTGGGGCATCTATTTTTCCAAGAGAAGGAAGAAAGACTAAGAGAACACTACATATTAACTAACTGAGCTATTCTACATAAAATCTACACTTTTAGGTAACTTGCATTTCTTCCCAGGAATAAAGAAATCAGTATCCTTCAAAATATCAAAATTAAACATGAATATATAATGCATTACAAACTCACCCATCTGCATTTTTCTCTTTCAACAAAGCAGCAGCTTCTACCAGCTTTTTCCTTCTCTCTTGTTGTTTTCTTTGTTTTTCCCGAATCTTTGAAAACAAGAAAAGCAACAACTCAACACACTGGGATTTACCTAGTACATCAGATAGCTGTTGTGTTTGGATGAAACAAACACGTCACTTTACGCAGCTTTGTAGGTTTGCATTTACAAAGTAATACAGCATTTAAACTGGGGCTTGCAACGGACACCAGAACACTTTTGTTCCAGTGGCTGAGTCAAAGCAGACTTTAAAGATCAAACAGTATTATTTTCCTCTTGCTTTTCTTTCACCCAATTACCGTAGAGTTTAACAGTCCCCCCCGCCTCTTCTCCAAACTATTAAAAACAAACAAAAAATGCAAAACAAAAAAACAGCTAACATTCTGTTCAACCATTTTCAATCCAGCTTGCCTGCATCCAGTCAGTGATTCAAGGGAAAAGTAGAAATAAATTTTCTTACATTTTCTTTATTTCCTTTTTCTTTGCTCTCTTTATTTTCTGTATCCTCAGCAGCAAGGTCCATTGTTTCTTGCTCCTCTGTTTGGTTGCCCTCCATGGCTGCTTCAGTAGTAGATTCTTCTTCTGTTTCCTGTATGGAAGCTGGCTTCTCATCAAGTGACCCATTGCTTTCTTCTTCCGTTGGAATGTTATCCTCAGACTCTGAAGGCAAGGTTTCTATAGAAAATGTCCTAGAGAGAAGACTGTCCACTTTGCTGAGAGGGAATTCATAAAGACTGTTGAAAAAAGATGCTGGAAATCCAAAGCAGCTGGTGGCTGCTCTAACAGGTCCTCCTTGTGGATACATTTGAATAATAGATCCATAACCTACAAACAAGAAATTAAGTTTATATACAATCACTGAAAATCTTCTAACCTTAAGGAAGATAGCCTAACTATGTATTTAGAAATGGGGAAACAGGCTATCTGCTCATAATCTAACCCTTGCACAGTTAAGCCAAGCAGTTCTGATGGCCAGGGAAGACAGAGTGCTTTGCTGCAAGGAAATTAAGTGTTAAAAGCTCAGATGGAATAACACATCCTTTCAAGACTACTGTTAAACAAACCATTAGAATTAACTGTGTATTGCAGCAGAATACGATCAGTTAACAGTAAAAGCAAAACAAAACAAAAAAATCCCCCCCACAAGCACACTGACAGGTGAACGTAAGAAGAGTTAGTTTCAAACAAGTTAAAAAAACATCCTTTGCCTATTTATTATTTCACTTATACTTTGCAAAGGCCTTGGATTAAAACTGGAATCTGATTAATTTAAGGGACACTGAAAACTCCACATATGGTGATACAAAGCCTCCTCATCATCCAAATCCCCCACCCAAAGAAAGCTTAAGGAGTAATTTCAAAATTATTTTCTCTCATTTGTTTTGTTTCAAATAACCCAATTTTCCCAAAGTTGGTGGTACAGATGACTGAAACAAAGCTTCAAAGTCACACTATTCAAATATGAAAGATACAGCCAACACAAGGGATCCTTGGGAGGTAAGACATCATGCCCTACTTGGTGACTTTCCAAAATTATGTTGAGGATAATCTACAGTAAACAAAGCCCCCTGAACTGCATTTACTTATACCTCTGTTATGCCCCAAGGCACATATAATGAAGTGCAAGCTACCAGCTAAGATCTTTTGAGCTCTGCTATAAATGGAGAGCAATGAAGCAGCAAGGTGAAAGAAAGGAACTTTTCTGAACAGCAATGGCATGCCTGGGGCAGGAAAAGCAAATGATGCTAAGGATGTGTCAGCAGCAACAGTAGCAGCAGTGGAATCATTTTCACGCTAATGGGTGCTGCAAATCATCTGACAAAGTGTTTATCACATATAGGCCCCTGGTCACTTGCGTGCACACTGCATTTAACTATCACCCCCTCTGTAGTGCTAATATCCTTAACTAACAGTGGACTCATCTTACAACAGACACGTGTAATAGGGGCACGTGTAGACACCGAGATGTTTACTATTAGGGCACAGAAAACAAAACTCCACAGCAGGGTAGTCTTATAAAATACAAGATTGCTCTGACCAGGCTCCATGTACTGTGCACAAATAAAGTCTGGAGCAATATGCTCTGACATTTTTTGTTCCCAGGAGCACCTGGGAGCAAAAAACACTGGCACAATAAGCTCCGGAGTTTATACATTTGCATTAGTTGTATATGTAGACATGCCCACTGCAAAAAAAATTACTGCTCCTAGTTAAAGCAAACCTTAATTTTGTTCATCAGGGTACCTGTGCTACTTACCTCCCATGCGCTCCATTACTGCCCCCAGCACCAGCCCCGCACAGGTTTCCATCACAATCATTTTGTTGCCAGCGCGGATATTTCCCAAAGTCAGCATCTGAGCCAGAGTGTCATATCGCAAATGGCTAGAAAACAAATTGTTTACTTTCTGTGACAAACACCTTTTAGATTTAGAAGCATTATCTTTAGTGTTGTCAAATCACTGAGTGGCAGGTAAAAAAAAAAAAGAACTGCTGAGAAACTAAATAATCAATGGTATTGAGGGTTGGTGCAGCAGTGTATCCTTAAAAGGAACACTGAAAACAAATCTATTACACAATTACAAGTGATGAAGAAGAGTGTAACAAGGGAAAGAGAAAAGCACTGATCTGACACCATCCAAACCAAGACTAATCTCCAGTGTGACATGTTAGAGTCATTTCCTCATAGTTAAGTGCCCATAAAAGCAGCTTTATTCCTAATCACACACACTTTGTTATTTATCTTACAGTAGGCACCTCATAGCCCTGAGGAGGGATCAAGACCTCACTGTGACAATGTTGTACAGTTGCAGGAAGTTAACCATGCCCTCAGAAGAACTTACAACAATTAAAAGGTTGATAAAAACAAGGGAGGGAGAATGGGGGAACAGAGTTAAAGCCATGGTAAGCAATGTAATTTTGCAGCTATTTTATCTGAGTTATAAAACAATGAATAAATCAGTCCAGGTTGCAAAAAAAATATGCACCATTAGTTAAATTTTTGCATACTATAATTATGAAACATTTTCATTTGAGTAACAGTAATTTTAACATTTAGAAGGCGTTAAGATAATTCCGCTTTTTTAATTTGAAAAAAATGAACACAATTTTCACATTTTTTCTTCCTGTTTCTGGTAAGGGCCTCTTTTTTTTCAGTTACGGTCCCAAGATATAGAGAAAATATACTATTTGGCCAAAAAGTTGTAACTGGCAGGAGGACAACAGAATGTGTTGTTTGGCAGTGGCTGTCAAGCTGACAAGTTAAAACTAGTCTCATATGCAGGAAGTGTTTTATTCTACTTACTACTCCATAAGGATATTAGTTTATATTTTTCCCCATACCTCCCAACTTAGGAATTTTCTGTAGCAGGTATAAAAAAAAAAATCATGTTTCACACCCCAGTTATAAACACAGCATCTTCCTGTTACATTTTGAAATAAAAACACTAAAAGAAAAAACAAAACAAAACAAAACAAAAAAAAGCTTACTTGATTTTTCCTGGTTCCCTTGCATAATACATTGTTGAAAGAATACGGGTAGATGGCTTTACAATTGTAATAACTGCTTCATACCTTTAAGTAAAACATAGAAATATTCTTATTTAGAGCAAAAATGTTAGAGTCATTAGGCCTTGCCCCCTTTTTATACCTTAAGACTTACTTTTTCTTCTTTTTCTTTATGTACTTATCTTGGGCAAATTCTGTCTTGTCTCGGAATGTTGTACTGTTCTCTATTAACTGTTGAACTATTTCCTTGAAAGAGAGAGATTGAAAGTTATTTTTATTAAAGCTTGCATCCAGCTGATTCTCCATTTTATTTCCCATTAAATATATATTTTATGTAACATTTAGTATGTTCTTGCCATTAACAGAAATGGAAGTTAGGATCAATTCCTGCTGGTCAAGGGGGCAAATGAGACATCACTTTCTGTCTATAATGCTGTTTCATTGCATATGTGAATTAAAGATACAACACAAATAAAGAATAAGACATTCTTTCCAGAATACCAACTTAAAAAAAACCCCTCATATTCTGAGAAAACTGCTTCTTGGAATGGGAAGTCTCTTTTCAGGGCATGTGTGTCTAAGACCATGTCACCCCAATCTTAAGATGTGGCTCTGTAATATAAGTGAAAATGAATTGCTGTTAACTCCACCACTTAAGAGCATCATCACTGATTTAGGTAAAAAACTTATTAGATTTTCACTTTGTTTGCTTGGGCATTTGACAACGTTGTCAATAGACAGCATCACAGTGTTCCGCTGTATGACTGTATGGTTTCCTATTGTTAAGAATTTCATTAAAAAGTACAAAGAGAAAAATACTCAACCCCTCTTCCTATTATATATTTTACAAACACTAATAGAACATGTGTTGTATCTGAATCTACTTCTGTTTTCCAACCAGTGACATAGATTTTAGTAATAATGCAATTTTGGAAGAGAGGAACAGTGGTTTAAAGACCAGTTTAAGTAGCTCATGCAATTCTTTCCAGAATTAAACAACCTATTCCACAGCTCCTTATCCCATTCCTGTGCCATTCCTCCTCAATTCCCTGTGCCTTTTTCCCCAGTCTCTTTGCCAAGCCTGCTTCATTTCTCCTCCTGCTCCTTGACCCCAAGTTCAAGTTCATGGACTCAGCATGGCTCATAGCAGCTCAAAACTGCAGTAATAGGGAAGCCCTGCTCAGCCCCAGGCTGCAATGTGCCCATGGATTGAATTTAACAAAGAAAGACTTTAGCTGCAAAATCTAGAAATCTCTAGTATACGTAAACTGCAATTTTTCAAGGTTTAAGACAGTCAAAACTGGGCAATTTCATACTGGGAAGGCCATACATCCCTTATTCAAAGGCCAAACCCAGACCAAATTTCAGATGGGTGCTCCCAAAACTGGTGGTACAAGAGTCTATCAAGAAAGGGATCAACTTTTTTTTTTTTTTAAACACTTTAAAATGATACATTTTTCCCTAGCCCTGTTCTTTAGAACGGCTCACCTTTTCCCATAACATTCAGTCTGAGGCATACACCTTGCATGGAAAGTTTCAGACCAAAAGGTTAAAAATTAGCTGTTATAAGCAACCCATGACAGGATTTTGACAAGAGATTTTATAACAGTCTTTTATAATGAACAATCATTAATAGGCAGTGCTACCAAGCTTCCTAGGCTTGGCGAGATATGCAGAAGGAGCTGTGCCCCTAATTGGGCATCTAAATGACAGGGTTAGATCTGCACAAGTGCTCAGTACTTGGTGGCTTCAGCTGAAAACGAGAGAAGCTGCCAGGTACAGACACGTCAATGAAATGCTAACATGGAGCTACGCTTTTCTGCAAATCTGTTCATAACGGTAGGTGGTGATCATTTTCCAAAGTCTGACTCTATTCCTTCCCTTCTTTACTGTGATTCAATGAAATTATGCCTAGAACATGTTTCTCAAAAATACAAGTTCACATTCATGAATTGTGCCTACTGATGCTAACACCCCAGCCCAAAAGGAATTCTGTAGCTGCACTTCAGAAAGCAGAGTTACTAAAATGAAGGAGATTTTTATTAGGTAGATTAAAAATATGGCACACATGGCACAGACATGCTGCTGACATACTGGAAGGCAATTTTCTACCCCTGAAATGTCTTCTGTCTTGATGTGTCAGAAGTTATAAAAGGTCTCACACTGACTACCACATTTTAGGAAGTGAGAAAACCAAAAATCAAAACACTGGGAACAGTGCAGAAGAGAATTCTAATTTCCTCAGCTCCATCTGTTAGGAGGCAGGCAGGAAAGCAGGACAACAGCAGTAACCAAGAGGAAGACAGAGGGGTCTTGCAAAGAGAAATAGGAAGGTCATTTGACACAGCAATGAGCTCTTTTAGCCTCTAAACTTTATATAAATATAAAGATGACAGATTACTGAGTAAAAATACAGTCCTCATTTCTTGCTAACAGCATGGTGATGATGAAGACTTCTCTAAGAATGAAAAATTAAGAATGTTTCATTTTAATATTTTTGGTGTCTAAATGCATAAAAGAAGATTCAATTACATTCCAGGTACCACAAAAAATGTGAATACTAGGCGTTTATGTTCATATCTGTCTGTTTTCAAGACTGTAACACTCTCCTGTACCTCTTACCATTATATCGTGTTATCTTTAATATGTTTGCAAGGTGCAAATGTCACGTAGTCTAATTTAAATAAAAACTTTAGCTGAATGAAAATTCTATGTAGGTTATTATATAAATGTTAACAATGCCTACACTATTGTTCCTTAGCTCTGTCTGCAGTTTCAAATGCTGTAAGTACAACTGTCAATTAAAAAAAAAAAAACAAAAAAAACCTTGAAAATATATTGTCTTTGTAAAGGCCCATTCTGAGAAAACACGTGGCAAATCCTTTGAACAGAAGCTATAAAGTTTATACAATTAAAAAATAATTCTGGCTCATAAACAAACATCAGGGTAGCACAGAAATGACACCAAAACCTTAATGTTACCTGTCCTTTAATACCCTTGTCCTTCAAAGCCTTTATGTCATCATGTGTCAGTTTTTGAGATTTTCCATCGTCAACTATGTTACGATTATCTGTACCTGCTTCTTTAGTTTCTAAAGAAAAAGGATATAGATTTGAAATATAATCTAACTCTAGCTCAGGAAAAATGTATGGTTTTAGTTTTATAGAAATCAGATCTAAGGATGAAACCCACGGGCTTAGTGGTTTTGGACAAAATTGCCTAAGCAGTTAAATAACATAATGAAGACCTTTGTATGTTTTTACTCATGTTAAAGCTTGTTATCCTACATGAATATCAAAAATCTTTCATAACCTTTCAAAGAGTTAATGAAATTTTAGCATAGCAAAACAAAACATTCACTTTTATGACAGACAAGAAACAGCTATTATAAATTGACAAAATTAGCAGAAAAAAAATTGCCATATATCTTAGGTCTGAGAAGGAAAGTTTAATTGGCACTATTTTTTTCTTCACAGGCTGATCCCCTCAAGTACCTGTGGTAGGCTCTTCAATTTCTTTCTTTGGCTGAAGGCTGCCACCACTTGTTACTTCAAATGTAGTTCCATAAATATGTCCAATGGCATTATCCAGATAGAACCACTGCTTCTCAAAAATAACTTTTCTGAAAGAAATTAAAAAATTAAAAATAATGCTTTCCATATCAGTTCCTCCAAGAGACTAGGAAATAAATATATCAAGTTTATAAATAAAACAGGATGAAGCCCAAATTCAACATCCTTGTGGAAATCCTTGAAATAAAAACTTAAGTGCAGTTAATATAGCAAGAGGCAAGAATTTTTTGGGTGTTAACTTATTTATTGCACTAACTACGTGGTTGGAATAAAGTCAGAATGCAAGGTGTTCCTCATCAGGTTCCATCATCAAGGCTAAGTACAGACAGTCAAAAAGCCTGAGGCTGAATTGATTCAATCTTTGCAGGTTAGTCTAAGCTGTGTAGATTGAACCGATAAGCAAAGAAACAGACATTCACTTTTGATTCTGGTAAGGCAGTCACATGCCTGCAATGGCCCAGACCAGAAGCCGCAGGACACTAGAGCACAGCTCCCTGCTCAAGTGGAGCAGACAGCTTGGGCCAAGGCTAGCCTGCCCACCCTGTGAGGTACGGTATTTGCAGTGGAGGTACAAAGCATTCTGGGATGCTGGGGGACTGTGAGTTAACTTGAATCTGGAGGGGATCTGGGACAGAAGTTCAATAAACTAATTTAACCAAAATCAGTTAAGTCTGATATTATATCCATCCACGTTTATCTTAAAAAATTCTCAGCAATTTTGAAAGCAGTTTATATGCACTGAACTTCTGTTGTGTTACAGATTTGAACTGGTTCCAGATCACTTATACTGGTTTGTATGTACTTTCTGTCCCTAGCCCAAGAGCATGCCTTGTATTTGAAAGCTTGTATAACTGTATCCCTATCATGCAGTTGGTCCAGTAAAAGTTATCACCTCAAAAATGCCTCATCTCTCACATAGTTCCCAGACCATCATGGCTACATCAGTCCAACACTATGTGAACATGGTCAATGATAAAGCACTTCATTATTTTTTAAACTGTTCACACGTTCATTCTGAGATGAAACTGACTAGGAATGGAATGAAGCTGAAGGACCAGGAAAACAGATCCAAAAGAAAGAAAACAGGCATTTTTTAGCTGAAAGATGTATTGTGCCCTTGAAACACACTGGTTGCCAGCACAGCTAGATGTAGTTCTGAAAGTCTTGAGTTAGGTTTTGGAAAAAAATATTGGTTTAAAAGCGTCAGTGAGACAGCCAAAGAAGGAACACGGCTGAAATATGTTGTGTGAGGGAATGCTGCTCAGAAAGGCATGCAGTAAGATGAGTGGAAACTTGAAATATGCAAATTCTACAAATCTTTGAAAGCATGAATGATGTGCATCCCCATGGTGACCGCCTGCAGGTGGTGGCAGCAGTGGTGTGGCGGTGGGGAGCTCCTGCAGGCAGCCACAACAGTGTTGGTAGCGGGGGGAGGGTGAGTGGTGACCACCCTCAGGTGCCACCAGCAGCATCAGCAGTGCTTTTTTCAGGGGGTGCACCATCAATTTTAGGGGGTGCACGTGCACCCTCTACGTGTTGCCAATGTTTGAAAGGATATTTTCCAAAGACTTGGATAAAAAAGGTCTAAAGCTAGGGTGTCAAATTCATCCAACTCCACAGAGCCAGAGGGGCACAGAGCCAGTGTGCAGGCTGGACTGGGCCCGCAGACTAGCCTCACATGCTAGAGCCAATCCATAGGGCTGGGCTGGGCTGTGGTGTCGCATGTAGCACACATGCTCATTTCAGCTGTATGCATAGCATGCTGCACTGCTGGCACTGGCCTGGTTCACAGCATGTGGGGCTCGTCTGTGGACCTAATTCAGATTGGCCCTGGATGCAGTGTGCAGAGCTGGTCCAGCATGAGCCTTAGACTGCTTATGTGCAGCACATGCCAGATGGGCTCCACATGCTGCATGCAGCATACAGGGCTGGGGCCAGTATGTGCTGCATACAATGCACATGTGTGTCTGGTTCTGGGCATGTGTTCATGCATCTGTTCTCTGTGTGTGTTTGCATGTGTGTCTGGTTCTCTGTGCACACATGGTTGTGTATGTGTGTATGGTTCTCTCTCCTCCCCTTTTTTCTTTCTCTTCTCTTTTTCTCTTTCCCTCTTCTATCTCACCCAGTACAACATGCTCAATAAAAAAAGAATATCCAACCACAAAGGTAGTATATGGTAGTATATGAAATTTTATTTATTGTCACCAGGTTAAGAATTTTTAGAAAACCCAGTATTTACTGTAAAAAAGCAACATTTATGATTATTAACAATATTAATATGTAGTGTGTCCCAGCATGTACCTCCACCCTGGTTTTGTTTTTCTGGTATGCCGACACTCCAGCACCTACCAGGTAGACATTGCATTTTTTTCAGTACTCCGGCCAAAAAGTTTTCCTGCCCCTGCTCCGAGTGAGCTATCCCCTATTCAGTATCCTCCCTGGCATATCCACCTTTACTGGTTTAGAGATTAGAGGAAACATCTCCAACCATTCCATTCAATAGTCATTAACAGATCTATCCTCCATGAATTTATCCAGTCCAGAACTTTAAAACTGTCTGCTATGAATTTCAGCAGGTGCCCCCTAGTTCTAGTATTCAACTAGTATAATTTATTACTTAAAAGTCACACAAAAATAGAGGCTTACTAATCCAAGCAAATTTACCTGTCTATTTTTCTCAAGTGTTAATGGGGGTGGGGATGGGATGGGACTAACAATGCTTTACTTGTTCATCTTAAACACTTGTGTACCCAAGGGGAACAGGCAATTAGAATTTTGCAAGGCTGGTTAAATGTTAAAAAGGCTTGACATAACTTAAAAGAAAGGGAAGTTAATATAAATACCTGCTTGCGTGCCTTTAGACTTCTTGGTAATGATCACCTAAACAGAATCTCTAAGCCTAAAGTGTCAGATTTCTCTTTGAATTTCCTCACTTACATCATAAAAAACCATAAAGTTTAATACCAAAGTTATTTAATCTTCCATAGCAATATTTATTCTTCTAAGCTCTTGAGTTTTCATTTATAGCCAGCATTTGGAGGAAAGGCTTCTGGAAATTGAATCTAAAGTCTAGGGACTTTGGAGATTTAATGAAAGATTTTAATAACTGTGTTGTGTAACGGCAAGATTATTTTTGAGTTCAAGCTTCCTGACAAGTCTACAGAACACTGACCATAGCCTCCCAAGTCTGCTCTAGAGGGGGTAGGTTGGAGCACTGATTAGTGATGGGTTTAAACTTTCCTAGTATAGTACAAGTTCAGCAGTCTCCCACTGGTCAGGTACTTCATCAAACACTTAAGCTTGAAGATGCTGGTCTTTCTTTACTCAAATTCTTTGATATCGATTAATGCTGCCCTCTAACATACGCAACACCACAGCATCCCCTGCTAGAATGGCAGGAGTCCAGAACATGTACATTTGCTGCCTCTGCTCTGAGGAGCTGGCACTGCCCACTACTCCATCTGCTCCATAAAGTGAACAACTTGACCCACACAAAGATGTCTATACATCATAGTAAAAGGAGCTGGCCTCCTCATGCCACCTGGAAAACAGTGAAAGCAGGAAAGCTCTCTCCGCATCGTTAGGATGATGTCACTGTATCTTCTTTAAAACATCCTCAGAAGGAAAGAGGAGTTGATGCTTCCTAATATAAACTGTTTTCTTGAGTGGAATTCAGCTCTCATCCTCAGCAACTTTACATATATATATTAGGCAGGAAGTGAAAACAAAGGAATTCTAAGATCCCTCTGTACCCAAGAATATGTCTTCATAAAAATGTAGCTGTAAGACCTCTGCCTTGGATTCTCTGCAAAAAAGCAACAGGTAGAATGTGTTCCTCTGTCCTGGCTGCCACAGCAGTCCAGAGAGGCTGTAGCAGCTGAATTTCTATCAGAGCAATCCCTGAGGCTACTCCTTCTTTCTGCAATGGTGTCCCTAAGCAATCGCATGGCCTCCTTATTCTTGGTTATTGCCCCAAGTTCAGCATCAGAGCCAGGATGAACTGGTCTGCCTATCTCAGATTCAGCAGTTTGCTGCCAATTTATATTAAGAACATTCACAGTTTACAACCACCAAGAGAAACTTTAAAAAAAAAAGTTATGAGTTGGCATCTGCAGAAATCAATTAGAGTTGCTGACAACAAAATTATACTGTGTCAATTACTATGGTTTTAATAAATATTTTAAAATCCTCAGCAACTTATTACAGGACTTTTGCATACGAGAGACTTAAATTGTGATTTGGGTGAGGCTAGGCAGGCCACCCGCAGCTGTCAGGGGGAAACAGAATGCAGGAGCTCAGCCTGCTGACTAGGAAGCATTTAGTGTGACAAGAGAAGACAGGCAGTGCCAAACGTGAAGCCCGCTGGCTGAGTGCTCTTCTCTGCCCTAGCTGAACTATAGTGTACGTGACAATTGCTCTCAAAGGCTTTCACCCTGTGGCCTGGCTCTGAAAATGCAGGCAGAACCTGAGAAGTGGGGCTCAGAAAACCTCCCCTCCATGGTGAGTGGTGTGTGTTTAAAGGTCCTGCTACACACATGTTCAACTGAAAGCTGCATAGAAACCAGCTATAGAGCTGGTACACCTTTTCCAGCACTAACTTGATAGCTGGTTGGCTCTTCTTAGAGCTGGAGTTATTTTTATCATGCAATAATTACTTTGCACAAGTGGCTGGTCTAAATTGCTTGTGCAATTCACCAGTTAAGTGTGTGATAATTACTTTGCATTACTGGCCAGTCATACTTTACATGTGCAGCTGGTTTAAATGCATTATGCCAGAGGTTTTCAACCTTTTTAAAGAGGTGTACCCCTTCTGGTGGTGGTGGCCACACACAGAGTTGGGGGGAGGGGGGGCCGGGGGAGTGGGAAGACTTGCACACGGTGCCACTGCCACCACACATTAGGCAGTATTGCGGGGTAGTGGCTGGTGGTGCTCTGTCCCTGCCCACCCGCGCATACCCCTAGGACCTTTCCAAGTACCACTAGGAGTACGCGTACCCCCAACTGACAACCCCTGTACTATACGATTAACCAGGTATTTGTGTAACATATGTAAAGTGTGGCAGGAGCCCTAAGGCACCTAATTTTTTTAGATGGTTTCCCAGGGTGCAAAGATAATGTTTAAGCCCAAATCAACCATGTAAAGCAGGGCTGTCAAACACAGAGTCCGTGGGCTGGGTTCAGCCCCTGGAACCCTCCTGTCTGGCCTGGCAGGATTCTGGCAGTTGGGGGCAGGCAGCCTGTTGCAGGAGTTGGGGCCTTTGGCCTCCAATGGACATGTTTATTAGCACCCCCCTCCCCACCCTCCGGACTCGTGCTGCTGCCTGAACATGGCTCCATGCTACCACTCAGCCCCAGCTCTATGGCATTTGGGGCTGGCCCCGCAGATCTGGCTCAGAGCCTGGGGTGGGTTTGATGCCTCTTATACAAGTCTATATATGGCATGTTAGAATCTGCATTAAAAATCTCAGTCAAATCCTGAATCGGTCTCCCTTACATTTTGCTGGTGGTTATTGGTCCAGTTCAACCAAGTGATCAATTAGTGAGTCAGACCCTCTGCAAGGCTACAACTCGGCTCACGCTTTCACTGAAACAGTTTTTGCAGTTAGGTTTTACTCTCCTGCTGGCCTACTGCAATTGTAAACAACTGTGTAGATCTGCCATCTATATCTATTTAGATCCATCTCTGTGCATAGATATTTCTATCTACGTAGATTATCATATTACAACAACTGCCGGTATCCTGGAGGACTACTGTCAGGCCAAATGGGAGGGTTCCAGGGGCTGAACCCAGCCCACAGGCCATTTTTAACAGCTCCCCTTTATATGGTTGACTTGGTTGATTTTTATCCACCCTGTAATGCTCTAAGCCATTTAAAAATAAACAAACAAACATGTAAATAAATAGTTGGATTTTTTTTTAATTGGATTTTTAAAAACAATCAAAAAACCAGATTTTTTAAAAAATGGATTTAAAAAGTTAAAATTAGATTAAAAAAAAAAATCAAGAATTGGATTTTTTTTCTTTACATCAGATTTTTTAGTGAAACGTATTTTGTTTTTCCAAGATGCTTTTAAAAAAAATACACCTATATAAAGATAGTTTTAATTTAAGATATGTTAAAGCTCAAAGATATCATGGAATAAGGATTATAACGTCTAACTATATACTATTTGAGGCAATATATTCAATTTTTTAGAAGTTTTATAAATAGGTCATAACAGGCCATTAAATGCCCAATCTTATGGGGTTCTCAGAGGGTCCTTTATAAAGATTAAAGAAAACTGCTCTACCCAATGGGACGCAGTGCTCAGTTTAGTACAGGGTTTCTCAACCCGTGGGTCACAACCCAAAAGTAGGTCACAAGAACATATGAAAGGGTCGCGAACAAAACTTTAAAAATGGATTCTACTTTAAAGGAGAAAAATGTGAGAAACCGTGGCTTTTCCCCTGCAGGCTGGCACAGTTTCAGCCTGTGACGGGCTGCCTGGGCCCCACCCATACATGTAGGGTGGCCATCAGAGGACATTCCACTTTTCTGCTATACTCCTCTATTGATGCAAAACTGGATGCTTTTATGTCCTCTATAAAATAGAGGTTTTGTATCAGTAGAGAACAGAGGTCAACCAGACTGCCCTCTATGATGGCCACCCTACACACACCCATGCCTGTCCCATACACTGGGGCTGGGGGCCAGTGGGTCAGGACAGAGCACTGTGTGGGGACTAGCCATCAACATTTACAAATGGATCCTGGTACAAAAAACTGAGAACCACTGGTCTAGAAGATCCCATTATGCATCTCTGTGATGCTTAGTTTCAGTTCTCAAACTGGATTTCTGTCTCCAGAAAGAACATCCTTGTTAACAGCAGTGTATGGAGATGAGAGAGAACAGATGTGATTACCCACCCACCTGCCCGCCCTATTGTCTCTCTGAAAGTTTGTGTGCACAGTCAAGCCCTTGCCTCTCTCTAAAAGGGCAAAGAAATTAAATGACCAGAGGCTTGTTGAGGTGGAGTAGATCTGGGCAAGGAGGTGGTGCCTGGAGATAAATGCAAGGAGGGAGGGGGCAGCAGAACCAGAAGAGAAACATCTTGAGAAGAATATTCCAGAATATTCAAGAAGTTTTGAATATACTTGCGTTTCTGAGGATAGCCTCCCGTTGATTTAATGAGGGAGTGGTATGGTAGAAGGGAAAAACCTGCATGGCAGCAGGCTTGCCAGGCCATAAGAGAGACCCTGTTTGGAAATACTTCAGTGACGTTTATATCAAACAACCAGAACGTACTTTTTGTAGAAAACGATTACATCCAGGCTTCCCAACCAACTACTTATATTGGGATTTAAACCAAATGCACCCTGGAGCATTATCCAATAATGTTTAAAAGGACAGCTCTCCCCTCCTTCCGGATGAGGTGGGGGCAGGCGCTGCCCCTCCCCAGGGCCCACATTTTCTATGCTTCTATGGCACACAAGGCTGGGGGAGTAGGCGAAGCACACCCCTAGCCCAGACCATGCCCACACAGACTCCTCCAGGGGGAGGCAGGGGCTTCCAAGTGGGGGCGAGGAAGGACCACAAGGATGGACTGGGCCACACCTGATTGGTGGGCGGGCGCGACCACTGGAAACTGTTGGGAGGGAGGAGGCCCCGCCCACCACCACACCTGATTAGTGGGCGGGGCAGGGCCGTTAAAGACGCACTCGGGGAAAAAGCCCTGGCCCCCGGCACAGCGCAGGGCGAGGGCCCTGGCAAATGCTGCCTCGTGGGCGGCGGGACAGGCTCGGATCCCCCGCGCTCACCTCCGCTTCAGGATCGGCACCGCCTTGAAGACCTCGCCTCGCTTGAGCACGGCGCAGTCTCCCTCTCGGATGCGGGCACCCGGCCCCGTGCTCTCCTCCATGACCCGAGCGGCTGCCGGCTGCTAGCACCGAACAGACCCTCGTGCTCCTTCCGGCCAGCGCCCGCACCGCGCAAACGCCGACAACCTCCCGGCGAGCTCCCATTGGCTGGAAGGGAGGCCCGCACTGCGCAGGCGTACCCCCGAGAAGCCCTACTGGGGGGTAGGGGGTAGTGTCACGTGACAGACAGTGGGCAAAGCGAGCCGCCTCTCCCCCGCACTCCCTCGGCGCCGGCCAATGAACATGAGAGGAGAGTCGCCTTGCGCCCATAGCAACGTGCGGGGGGCGGGACGCCGCTGCAAACCGACCCTGTGATTGGTGCGGGTACCGGAAGCGGAAATTGTGGCCACCCGGCGCCAAAATAGAACGGTGGTGGTGGAACCGCTCAGGTGAGGCGGGGGCGCTTGTAGTCTCCGTGCCCGTCCGTTACGGAAGGGGCGTTGGGGGCGGGGCAGGCAGCAGCGCCCGTGGCCCGGGCCAGGAAAGTGCGCAGCTGGGATTCACACGAGAAACTCGGAGGTTGTGCGCAGGAGCCCGTAGGGTTAGAAGCAGTGGTCTGTCTGTCTGGCGTCGCCTCCGCACTTCACCCGGGGAGCAGGGCTAGGCAGAGTCCAGAGTGAGGGCTGCCTCATTCCGCCTGGGATGAAGTGCACTTGCCCTCCCGAGAGCTTGTGATGGCGGTATCTCCCTTTATGGGTAGAGCTGTCATCTATGGACAGAGATAGATCTATAGGTATCTAGGTCTACATAGGTATATAGGTAGATCTGGCCTCTTTATCCATATAACTCTATCTCTATACCTAGGTAGGTCTTCCTATGCCTAGATAGGGCTCTCGTGTATCTATTTAGATCTATGTATATGTAGTCTGTTTATGTAGAGCTGCCATCTATATGTAGATCTGTCTCTATGTGTAGATCTCTAAGTAGATCTATCGTCTATATCAGTGGTCTCCAAACTTTTTTGATTGCACACCCCATCAGTAAAAAAATTTTAAGCACGCACCCCCAATATATGTATATTTATATAAATATACATATAAATAGAAGTTCTAATATTTTCTTCCTGCACCCCAGTGGATCGTCTTGCACACCCCCTGGGGTGCGTGCACCCCACTTTGGAGACCACTGGTCTATATGATTGTAGATACATACCCATAAATGTCTATATCCATAGATGTCTATATCTGTGTAGAGCTATCATCTGTGTCTTTGTAGAGCTGTCTCTATCTGTAGACGTTGGTATCTTTGTAGAGCTATCATGTATGTCCATGTAGAGCTATCTCTGTCTGTAGACATCGATATCTATATGCGTATATGTAATCTGGTTTTGTTAGTCTGTAAAGGAATGTGTCTACCCTGCCTTCTGAAAGTTTTCCAAGCGGGAACTCGAGTCTCCAATAGTCAAAAGCCACTGCTCTGTCATGACGTGAAAGGGTGCTGCAGCAGGCTGGCTTTGAAATGATTTATCTGGAGTTCCCATTTTCCTTAAATGGCAGATCATTTTTAGTTGTTGCCTTGCTGCCATTTGCACCATTCTCTCCACATTTGTTGAGGGACACACAAGATGTGTGAAAGACTTCTGAAAGACATGTCATCTTCTAATGAATCATGGCAGGAGCAGAGTAGTAGGGAAGAGGAGAGCAGTGACTTCCATTTTCTCAAAGTGGGGTAGCTCTTAGACATGTGGGAAATGATGCTTTAGTATTAGCTCTTCCATCCCCTCAGGAGAAAGCTAAACAGCCAATATGGGCAGGCCCTGTCATAGTGCAGGTCACATGCAGACTTGGAGAGATTCTGACTCCAGGCTGACCCTTCTAGTCTGTGGTACAAATGAGAGGCATGTTTTGGGCCTGCAGTCCTCAATTGCTATAAGCAGGTTGGGCAGCCCTCCAAAATCTCATTGTGTTTACCAGACTAAAACCTCTTTCCCTCTCTGACAGTGCAGGCAGTCATGGTACTCCCACCCCCTCTTCTTTAGAGGAGTAAGGATCTTGACTTCTTTTTCCACAAGTGAAATGATCCTGATTTTGTTCTTTTAATGCGACAGTTGGCTAAAGAAACCAGGTAATATAGTTCTTTATGTATGTATATATATGTATGTATATAACTCTCCATTAACAATCTTTTCCTTTTCTTTTAACCCACAGTTTGCCAATTCATTTATATGGCGTGAGATGAGCAGTGAATCCAGAGGAAGAGCGTATGGACGAGGAAGAGGCTTTCAAAGCTGGCGAGGAGGAGGAGGATGGCGAGGCAGAGGAAGAGGACAAAAAGGAGACTGGAAGGGAAATGCTGGGAAGGCTGAGTCTGGTGAGTTAATTTTACTCTTATGTTGCGATAAGCAGAGTATTTTTCAGACAGTGCCTATCCATGTACTATTGTGTGCAACAGCTGCAGCTCTTTGCTTACTAGTCTTCTACAGTAATGCAGAATAGTCTGAGGTACTGCTATACCTATACTGCTCTAGCTAAACTTACTTTAATACTTTTCAGCCCAGCCTCGATTAATTCAGTCAACATTAGACCCAGTTACTCCATACAAAGGGTGGAAGCTGTATTTCTCTGAAGGTATGGATTTTTCATTCATTTTCTATAGGAAATGATTTCTGTTTATTTTCCTGGAGTTGAGTAAATAGCAAATAGATTAGAAAAATAATTCTCAAACTTTTTACATCAACAAGTCTCTTTTAATCCTCAGCATTCCTTCCAAGGCATCATGCACTTGTACCCTCAGACTTGTAATTGAAAACTCTATATGCGCATGTGTGGGGCTGGTGCAATGTGTACACCAGCTGTAAACCATTTACTATATCTTTGTTAACTGCTGATGGGTGGGCTGCAAATCACAACTGGGAAACCAGTGGACTAGAAAGTTGAAAAAATGAATGACTTCATAGTTCATTCATAAACCCTTCTAATAACCCAAGGTGCAATAAAGGAAAATATGAATTAAACATAAAAATAATTTGATCCTTTAAAAAAATGGAGGACCACCGAAAGAAACTCCTCTCCCTTTCTGTTCTTTCTTCCCCTTTATTTTGTCCTTTGACTGGACCTCTAGTTACTATGAAGTACTTTTTGGAATTTTCCTTTGAACCAGTGACATATGTCAGGTTGCACTTCAGGATCCAATATGTTGGTACCTTTTTAAGTACTATGACAGCTACCAGAAAAAATTTTGGGGTACATGCACAACCTAAAAGTGCTGGATAGTCCTACTCAAGGAGATGCTCTTCAGAACAGAGAGACTGCTGGGCAGCATTGCAAGTGACTATGTGTTGTCTTTTATTCTTGTCCTGCATCTAAAATCAGCCTAAATGAATGAGAAATTCCTGTGGGAGGTTTGAGTCTTGGAAACAAATCTGGCAAAATGGAAAATGTGTTCTGTCTTCATCAGACTCTTGTTAAACCCAAAACAAAACATTGAACATATCCTGCTGACCTAAAACCAGATGGATGTTCATGAACCATAATGGAATTTGTAGTTTACTGGAAACTTAGTTATTCACGTGCATCACCTGTTGCACTTTTTTGGGTCCTGCCTCATAAGAATCCACCACATAAACTACTTTCTGTTCCTTCAACTCTGAATCACCATATTTATCTGAATCCAAAATAACTTTGGATTTAAGATACCCCCCTCTCTCCCCCCCCAATTAGATTCTGTATATGAAAACTTACAAATTTGTTATAATTTTCCATGTGCAGAATCTAATCGGTGAAATGTCATCTTAAATTCATCCCCTGCTACTGCTGTGGCAGGCTAAGCAGAGGTAAAACGGGCAGACCCCTGCTCTTTGTTTTCCCTGCCTGCACCCGCAACTCCTTCCCCCATACCTGTGCCTGTTGCCCCCCCACCCCCAATAGTACAGGGGCAGGCAATTTTTTCGGGCGGAGGGTCGCTTACCAAGTTGTGACAAGCTGTCAAGGGCCGGATGGGTAGCCCCGCCCCTTGGCGGGTGCCCTGCCCTCTGGTCACCATCTTGGGACCAATGTCCCAGGGCCAGCACCGGTGGGGCCCAGAGCAGGGCACAGGCTGACAGGGGCCTGTGGAGGTGGGCTGGGCTGCACCAGCAGGTAGAGGTGGGGAGCTGGCCTGGCTCCATAGAGCCCCTGCGAGCCGGGACCCTGTACCCCTGTGGCCCTACTCTGGGCCCTGCTGGCACTGACCCTGGGACACGGGTGCAGGCCCTGTTCCCACACCTGCTCACTCAAGTGCCCCCCAGCCCTGCAGTACAGGCGGGGTGCAGCGTGTAGCTCCAACCCCCTGCTTGCCGTCAGGGAAGGAGCTAGTGCTGAGCGCAGGAAAAGCGGCCGTTCCCCCACCCCGTGCCCAGAGCTCCCTGCTGCAGCCGCCTGCAGCCTGCGTGGGGCTTTTCTGAGTAGGCACACTTCCCCTCAGCATTAGCTAGTCCCCTGCCCTTCGCCACACCTCGCCTTACCTGAGTTTCCCATGCTGGGGAGGCAGGGCTGGGTGGGCCCTGCTCTTGCAGGAGCTCTCCATGGCTTTCCCTGGGTCCTACTGCCCTTGGTTCCTGTCATCTTTGACAGAAACCAAGGACAAATGCATTTTAATTTTCTAAACTTTTTTAGGGGCCCTGTGGGACAGATAAAATGGCCTTGTGGGCCGTATCTGCCCGTGGGCCATATTTTGCCCACCCCTGCCATCCCACCCCTGCTCTATCTGTGCCTAACCCCTGCTTCCTATCCCTTTTCTATGCTGGCTTCCCCATGCCCCCTCTTCTTACTTTTTGCTGCAGCTCTGTTCCTCTGGGGCAGTCTATCAGCAGTGGCAGCTCCTGGCTGGGCTGGGTAGCAGGTAGAGGGACTAGAGCTGGAACAGAAGGTATGGGGAGGAGACAATTGTGGGAGACAGGGAGTGGGGGCGACAGACACAGGGACTATGGGGCAGGCTGCAGGTTCCCTCACCACGATCTCCTCTTGTATTCCGCTTGCTGCATGCTCCCTTCTTCACCAAAAGAGCCATTTCAGCTCTGGGTAGGTGGTGGCTCAGCTCTGGCTTCAGCACTGAGCCCAGGGCCAAAACTAAGCTAAGTTGCCACCTGCTCCAGGCTTGTGTTTGATCCAAGATGAGGACCTTTTCCCTTCATGCTGAATGGGGGTGGGGGGGGACACCTCATTTTACATTTGAATAAATACAGTTTTAAAACAGAAGTTCTTAACTTTTTTAGATGCAAGCCTCATTTTACTCAAGGTACCCCTCCATAACTTTTGTGAATTGATGACTACCCCATTTCAAAAAACTTATTACAGTGCTGAGCTCCTTGTAGAGGGCCAGGCAGGGATGAGATTGAGCCTGCATTTAGCTGCCTATTTTCTCACATGGCGTACCCTGTTATCCTGGTTGAGAATCACTCTGTTAAAGTATTCCCTGTGTTAAACTTGTCTCCTTTACTTTGAGGATTGATCCGCATGGCTGAAAGCATGTTATATGGGTCAGAAAAAAAGGGCTACTGAGGTTTTCTTCCTGTCCCAGACTACAAAAAAACTTAACGAGAAGAAACTATCACTCTTTTTAAGACAGGCATCCTAGATCTGTTCTTCTTCTGCTGGGGAATAGTGGAGGGTGTTGTTATGCAGTAGTCCTTTTGATTATAGCTGAAGTGCATGTATTATAGATTAGCTGGTCTTCACCAGGCCTTACTTTCTAATCTCACACTCCTTTCTCTTTTTCTGTTTATCTTTTAAGGAGTCATTACAGTACTAGTTATGTAGTGATAAGCTCTGAAAAGAATTCCATCCAGTCCTTTGGAGGAACACATCTGTGCATGAGAGAAATATGAAAAAACTGCAGGGGCAAAGCACCATAGAGTTATTTAAATAGTTACCTGTATTTATTTATTTTTTCCAGCTAATGTAGTTAATAATACAGCGTGGTTTCTACAATAAATTTTGGTTATATAAATAAAGGATATGTGATGCTGCTGCTTTTGATTAATTTCTGTGTTAATTACTAATACAATGTATATATATCTAATCAGCTTATGATGACAGCTCTCCTTTTGTCCAGAAGATTCGAGCATTTCAAAAGTTTTTCACAAGCCGCATTGAACTTTATGACAAGGTAAAAACACACTACTATTGCTACATTGAACTCTACTAAACTCTTGTATGTTCTTTTATGTATACTAGCAAGTTGCCCATCAAGCATGACAGGGAGGGGAAGGGGGGGAGGCAGGAACAGAGAGGCACCTGCATTGCCTTGGGTTGGGGTCCGGCTTCCCCCAATTCCCTTGCTTGCCACCTCTGGTCCAGGCCTGCTCCTTCCCTTCCCTGTCTGCTGCTTAGGCCAGAGGCTCACTCCTGTGCCTCCCCTCTGCCCTGTTGTTTCAGGTCCGGTTCCCCTTCCTTCCTGTTCCCCTCCCTCTCTCCCTGTCCTCTTCCCTGCCACTGCCTCCGCCCTGCTGGCTGTTGTTGGAGTGGGGGGCCTGCTCCAACCCCTGGCTCCAAAGAGAAGGACCCTGGGCCCGTTCCAAGGAGCAGGACCTGCTCAACCCCTCAGTCCCTGCTGTCATGGTGGCACTCTGTCATGTGGAGGGTGGGGGTGAGGCCAGTGCTGTGCCACCAACACCACATGCCACCACTGCTTCTAAGGAGCACTGCTGGCCTTGGTCCTCCGCTCCATTCTCTCCCTTAGGGTGGTGCTTCGGTCTCTGCTGTCCCCCTCTGCCTCTGGGGAGCAGGGACCCGGGGTGGGGAGGGGGGGCAGCGAGGCTAGCACCGGCCCCTCAGCCCCACTGTCATGGCAGCACCCCAGTATGTGTCTCTGTCTGTGCAGAGCATTCTGACTGGCTGCCAAGACAACAAATCCGAGTGCAGGTAAAGCATTACAGACAGACAGACAGACAGACTAAGGCTTTTATTATAGTAGAATTTCAATTAACATCTCAAGAATAATGAGTAAAGCTTTTCACATACTTTGTTTTAACCTGAAATGAAATTGTTTCATAACTAAATGTTTTATTAGGATGAAATTGAAAGAAAAGGGAGTATTCTTGTGGATTATAAAGAGCTGATGGACGATAAAGATTTAATTAAGTTGATACCAGATATATCAAATGAATTAAGAGATATGCCTCAGAAAATATTGGACTGCATGGGTCTAGCAATACATCAGGTAAATATGGGTTTCAAATGGGCGTTAAGTAACTATGTCTCAATATTTTCAAGTAGTTATCAAACTGATAAATACTCTTTTAAAAAACGTTGTTATTAAAGAATACTAACACTGAGGTGTTAGGATGTCCAAAATTGTTAAACTGCTTATATCACAGTGTTAAACTGACTGATTTGGGTTTACTGAGCTAAAAATACATGTGTATCAAGCTTCTTGGGCCAGGAATTTGACCTAATAACTATTATAGTATGATAAGCAGTGTCAGAAGAAAGTCCTATTTCTAAACAGCTTTTTTTTCTGATTTATAAAAATGTATTTCTCCATAGAAAAAAATATTTTTCCTCTCCACCCTTTGTGTACCTTTAAAATCATATTTTTATAATATTTTGGTCTTCTCTAATGCTTCGTGGCTGATGAGCTTGCTATTATTCAACCATTTTGGTGAACTGGATTGATAATGTCTCTGTGATGCATGGAGCTACTATTCCCAATGTATATATTATTTACTCATCACATGAGCTACTAAGTTGCAGATCTTAAAGGACTTGCCCAAGGTGATGCATGAGGTCCATGGCAAAGCAGTGAATAGACCTTGGAATTCCTACCTCTTGCATTGTAAAGTCCTATATCTTGAAACGAGTAGTTTCTTGCCGTGACAGCAAACATGCCAACGAGTATGCTGACATTAACTGTGCTAATACATACATTTCAGAGGTTACTTTTTATGAAAGCAAAGATGCTCAGCTGGATTTAAAATATGGAAGGAAAATGAATGGTTGTCGAATGGAAAAGTCCAGATCACTAATATAATCTCCATTTACTTATTTATTAGATGTACATCCCACTCTATCCAAAATGCTCAGAGCAGCTTACAATAAATAAACACCCCACAGAGAGGATTCCACAAACAATACCCACATTGATATTCAGTGAGGCCTTCAGCAGAGTTAGGTAGAGGTTTTATCCTCCAGGATATCATGGCAAAGCTAAGGGACTAATGTGCTATCAAGCAGAATTTTCAGAAAGAGAACATCATGTTAAATGGGACCACTGTAAAAACTTACTTTTCAACATTTTTGTAACCCATTAGCTTGCAGCTGTCCTTTCCTAGGCTAGCATTTTTTTTTTCTATCTAGGTGTTAACTAAAGACCTTGAAAGGCATGCAGCTGAACTGCAGGAACAAGAAGGATTGCCAATTAATGAAGAACCTATAATCAATGTGCCACATATAAATGCAAGGTTAGTTTCTTTGAAATAAAAGGTGAAGTAAACAAGTGGAGTGCCTCAGTGGTTCTGTACAGCTGTTTGCTACGACTCTGTATACCTCTTGGAATTGGCAAACCCTCCTTTTTGTGTGAGTATTAGGAACTTAACCCTGCAAAGTATCTAAGATTACAATAAGTATAAGGCTGATCCTTTGATAAACACTTTCCTCTGGCTGTGTTCTGACTTACTGCACACATTTTTAATAGATTTTAGTCCTTCATTTAAGAGATAATAAGACTTAAATAAAAATGTTGACATTTCATTTTAGGGTGTACAACTATGACCCATTGACACGACTGAAGAATGTTCGGGCTAATTGCTATGGAAAATATGTTGCTTTGCGTGGTACTGTTGTACGTGTCAGTAACATTAAGCCTCTCTGCACCAAGATGGCTTTCATATGCAGCACGTGTTTAGGTGTTCAGAGTCTTTCACTGCCAGATGGAAAATATACCCTCCCCACAAAGGTAATATAAAATAACTTTGTCTTAAAATTTTATTGGAAAGAAATAGCAACAATATTTGAAGGAGGATGAAAGGAATAGAAGATTTCTGCAAGTTAAACTAAGTTATTGGTACATTAAAAAAATCATGTGTCCCACTGTTACTCTATATCTTCACTATGTGAATTCTCTTTTAATCGTGCCCACTTTAGTTAATAGTTCTAATCTTTACAAGTACAGTTTCTTTAACTATAGCTTTTTTTCCCTTATGTGGTTTATGAACTGCATATAGTGTACTGATTTTTACCCCCTCCCCCCAGCCTTGGAATCAAATATTGTAATTTAAACTGTGCAGTAAAGAGAACTATTTGACTTAACTCAGACCTGATCATGAATTAATCCTGTTGCAGTGTCCTATTCCTGAATGCCATGGCCGATCATTCACTGCAGATAGAAGCTCTTCTTTAACAATTACTGTGGACTGGCAGTCTATAAAGTAAGTGGCCTTTTTAAGTAAGTGTGTGTGTGTGTGTGTGTGTGTGTTCAAAAATTCATTTACAAAGGAATTGTTTCACCCACATGCTGCTACACTTTGGAGGATCTATTGTCCTTATTCAGTATACTAAGTTAATTTTACAGGTGCACCACCAATACATTGGTTCATATCGTGTCAGCACCAATAAAAGGAAAATTGACATTATTGGCAATCTGCTGTTCTTGACCAATGTGGTTGATAATGTCGCCGATTTAAATGCTGCATCCATGCGCGCGGCTGCTGCATGTGGCCAGGAATCCAGCCTGGCAGTGTGGAGAACAGTGTCTGGCGGGTAACTCAGTGTAGGGGAGGGAAAGGGTGTGGGGGGGTAGGGCAGATCGCAGCCCCCACAGTGAGGGAAGAAGTGGGCCAGGGGCAGGTGCTGCCCAGCTGGGGTGGAACTCAGGACGGAGCAGCGGGTGGTTCGTGGGGAATGGGAAGGGGGAGCAGCTTCTGCCATGACTTGCACCCCCAGGGAAGGCATGGGGGGTGTGTGCTTCATGGATTTGCCGCAGCGGCCAACCTGGCCTTGCCCCATGCACAAACCCAGGAGGCACATGTCCCCCATGCCTCCTCCAAGGTGCATGTGGCGTAGGAAGCCAGCCCTCTCCTCCCCATCCCTGGATGAGTCGCCCAAGCTGGTTCTGATCAGCCCAACTCTCCAGCCTGTCCAGGTCCGCCTGTATCTGCAGCCTATCTTCAAGCATGACCATGCTTCCCCATAGCTTGCCCCTTCCCCCACCCCCAACAGACTTACTGGCTGGACGTTGCTCCAAGCTGCTGGGCTGCATATCAGCAATCGGATCGGTATTAACCAGTATGTCTAGTTTATAATTGGCCATCAGTATCAGCCCAAAAAATCTTTATCAGCGCACCCCTAGTTAATTCAAATTCTTGGTTACGGCTTCATTGTGATGGTCATGCTCTAAATGTGACAGAGAATAAAGCTATATGAGCAAAATTGCATTACCCTGTGAACTGTCAGAATTGAAGGTTATATAAATTGTAGCAAATTTTAGGGTTAAGTCTTCACAGTTTAAAGTGGACCCGAATTGGGAAATTATTTATGGACATGTGATTTATTACTGTTCATTAACTTTCTACATCTAATCAACAAGTAAGCATTTCTTAAATTATGAGCTCTCTTTGTTAGGGACTCTTTCATTGTTTATATAGAGTCTAAAAACACTGAGACTCAATTATTACCTCAATAGAAATAGCATGATTTTAAGGGGTTAGTTCTAGTCTGAAATGCTTATAATTATTTCTGGAGCTGATTATTCACGGTTTCTTTAGAATAGATGGAGAATTTTGCCTTCTCTCAGCAATGACTGACGTAGTTGAACTTGGACATGTTCACAAGTTGACTTGAATGGTACTATTGAAAAGGTAAAAAAAAGTGGTCCCAGTTAAGTCATTTTAATTAATGTGATAAAAGACTGAGAAATGTATTTAGGTATCAAAGTGCATCTGCAAAGGATAGCAATAATGGTAAGGAGTGGGGGTTTTAAAAGCCTTTGTGGTTAACCCAGCAAAGCTGAAAGAGTTAGCATCTTGCTGCTGTTCTGTGTGAGGGAAAAACTGGGCTTAGGAGGAAGTAATAATTAGGACTTCTGGTCTGGGGACTGGGTAAGCAGTGGCTTCTAAATGATGTCAAAACTGAAGTAAGGGAGTTGATCACTTGGCTCCAACAGGATGTCGGGAACCTCTATATGCAACTCTTCTCTTCCCCAGAACTCAACCCTGTTAAGACTTCCCTGGATGAAAAGTGGTTTCAAAGTAAGGACTAAAGCTCTGCATAATCCTAGGTCAGAAAACTGTATGTGGACTTAAGTTGTTCATAGACAAAAGAACCTTGTTTTGGTCTGATTTTAGGCTAACTTTAGGCTGATTTTTAGGCTAATTTTAGTCAAGTGTTCCATGCGCCTTCAATGGTTTGTGCTGCCTGGAATCAGCAGCACAGGAAGACTTCATCTGTGCAGTCCCACAGGAAGGAAATTGCTGAGGCAATAAAGATGGTACCCCATAATTCGTATTTAGGATCATTTTCCTAAAGAGATCCACTTTCTTTCCTCATTTTTGTTGTACTAGCAATATTTCCAGTATTATAGCAGTGTTTATTCTGAAGAGTTTGTGATGTTCCTTTCCCTTTTTAGCAAACCTTAACTGGATGAACAAACAGTGTAATTTCAGTTTAGAGTCCCAAGATTCCAAGTTAACCTGTGTTGGAGTTTCTCTGCAGTCCTGTTTCTTCGAGTTCATGGGATCATAGGAAAGTAGGGCTGGAAGGGACCTCATGAGTTCATCTATTCCAGCTCCCTTCTCAAGGCAGGATCATCCCTGACTGAATCATCTCAGCCAAGTGTCTAATCTGCTCCTGAAAGTTTCCAAGCATGGAGATTCCACAACTTCACTAGGTAAACTGTTTCAGTTTCTGACCATCTTCATAGTCAGAAAGTTCTTCCTAATCTACAACCTAAATTTCCTCTTTTACCCCATCTCCATGGCTTTTTTTTTTTTAAATCATCTTCAGATATTTGAAGATTTGCCATCAAATCCCTCCTCAGTTTTTTTTCTTTTCTCCAGACTAAATAATTCTACTTCTTTCAGCCTTTCCTTATACATCATACTTCTCAGGCCTCTAATCATTTGTGTTGCTTTGCACCGAACTCTCTTAAACATGTCCACATCTTCCTTCAAGTGTGGAGCCCAAAATCAAATGCAATACGCCAAGTGAGGAGGCTTCACCAGTGCTGAATACAACAGAAAAAATCACTTTTCTTGATTTGAAAGTGATATTCCTGTTAATACAACCCAGGATGCTGTTGCTCTTTTTGCAGTGAGAGCACACTGTTGGCTTATGTTTAAGCTTATGATCCACAGTAACTTTCAGGTCCTTCTCTACTGTATTACAGCCTAGCCAGTAATTTTCCAGTCTGCATTTATGCATGCAATTATTCTGTCCCAAATGCGGGACTTAGCGCTTGGGCCTTGTTGAATCTTCTTTGATTGTGTGACTGTAGGCCATATTTCCAGTCTACTCAGGTCATTCTGGATCCTAGCTCTGCTCTCCACAGTATTTGCAGCTCCACCCAAGTTGGTATCATCCACAGATTTGCTAAGCCTCCACTGAATCCCATCATCCAAATCATTAATGATTATGTTGAACAATACTGGACCCATGACAGACCCCTGGGGAACCCTACTTCATACCACTCCCAACTAGACATTGAGCCATGGGTGACTACTTGTTGAGCATGGTGATCTAACGAGTTTTGTGTTTATCTTACAGACTTTGGTCTAATGTGTATTTCCTTAGCTTGTTAAGAAAAATGTCATAAGAGCTGGTGTCAAAAGCCTTGCTGAAGTCAATATAAATCAAATCGGCTGCTCTCCCTCCCATCCACAGTGAACATCACCTTTATCATAGAAGCTGGCAGCAGAACTGTTCGGTTACCTACCCAATCTACAGGTGGCGGATAGAGGAATGACCTATAGGAAAGGTTAGCTGTGAAATAAGCAGGGGTAATTCTGATGTTTAAGCAGTTGCCGACCAAGTAGTGACAGCACCACCAGGATGTGGTGGGGTCAGCAAATGGCAATGTTTTCCCTCCTGAAGAGCCACATATCTCCTTTGATGGTGCTGTGACATGGAGAGTACAGATCACAACTATAATAAGCCTGCCCAGCCCCCAGCCATAGGTCTACAAGTCCTCAATGGCAGAGCAGGCAGAAGAGGATGTTAGAATCTCAGTGGCTCTAAAGGCAGATGAAGACTGCAGCAGAATAAAATCTCCAGTTGTCTTGGCTTGCTTACCATTGGATTAAGGTCCTGTTCATGTTAAGAACTGTGTGGGAGTTGATGTGCAGCACCTTCTCCATGATAAAAGGAATCATACGCAGGTATATTCCATGAAAACTACTTTCCCAGCACATATTTCAAGCCCTTTAGCAACCAGCTAGTGATGATGAGAGCAGGATTTTGAGGTATGGAAGCTCCTGGTCATGAACTGGCATGTTACAAGAAGGTCATCTAGCGCTTGGATGAGGACAGGAGTATGATTCGACAGCTGTAACTGTGACTGAACAGCTCTCTTCAGAATCCACTCTACTCACCCCACAGGAAGAGGGAGCTAGAAAAGGTGCACTAAACATAGCCTCTCTACCTTCTTTTTGACTAGATAACCATGTCCAATGGGATCACTTTTACTGCACTTAAAATCAATGAAGGCAAACATTTGGAAACACTTGCCCTAGTTGCAGCAGAGCCTGTTAATCCCATATTGGCCTCATCACCCATTTATGGACCCACAGATAAGAAAGTCATGGAAGACAATCATTCTTGATGGTGAGGGATTGCTGAAAAAGAAGAATCATGCAAAGAAATGAAGTTGATATTCTGCATCCAAATTGTACAGGTCCGTATTTAAAAACTGTAAAATAGGTGGTAGCAAAATTTAAGTGTCACTTTTTTTTAACATACCACTTTTTTTTTTCTATTGACGAACCTTCTAAAATTATTTTAATCATAGTGTTACAGATTCTTGAGAACAGCACTAGAGGGTGCTTTTAAAATTGTAAAGAAGAGCTCAGAAATCTGTATCTGTAGTGAATACAGTTCAAAATCTTACCCCAAAATGGGTCTGAATTTTGCAGCAAAGGCCTCTTTCTAATCACATGGCTTATTACACTGGATACAATCTGTTATTGTTCCCTTTGGACATCTTTGAAATGGTCTTTTGATGATCATGACATCAGGACCAAACCCTACTTTTCATATTCCAGGCTGTTGTTACCGCTACCCTGTTAGATGGGTGTAAAACTTAGATGATGCATTGGAAGAACCTGAAAGCTTTGGAATGTTACCATTAGGAATGCAAATGTCTTTGGAAAATCCTCCAAATCAATTGGAAAAAATGGTGAGTTGAATGCCAGTGTTCTGGCTTAAGTAAATACTAACAGCATTGAAGCCATGTTTATATGACACCAGTTCTGTTGGATAGGGCATGTCATAAGGATACCTGACAACTGGCTCTCAAAACAGGTTCTGTAGTCCCAACTCACCAGTGGTCACTACTCAGGATGGGCAAAAGAAGAGATTCAAGAGCACCTGGAATGCCAATCTGAAGAAATACAATATTAACATGAATACTTGGGGGACTTGAGCACTGAATTGTCCTCAGTGGTGCCATGATATACACCAAGGCACTGATCTTTCTGAGCAAGCTCACCTCACTATCCTTCCTCCCAGAACTTTGCCATGTCCGCAGTCAAACGCAGATTTTGGATGGGCCCCCTCAATCATTTGTGGACTCACTGATACTGTCCAACATTACTGGAAGTGTGTCCTCCTCATTTCAAGAGACCACATGCTAGATTGCATGCTAACTAGAATGAACAATTCATTTCACTTTGCTTTTTTATATCAATGTATAGGTGAAATAGCCAGCTGTTATGTATGACTCAAATGCTAATGTATTTAGGGGTGCTACAACTAAACTCCCATTGAAGTCACTGAATTTCTCTCTTCATGAGGGCTGCAAGATTTTAGGCCCTTAATTTGGAAATATTCTGATGATAAATATCTCATTCCTGTGTATTTGCATATGAATTTTGCCAAATCAAAAATCCATAATTAAGTAACGATCCTGAAATGTGTTATTTTTTATGAACTGTTTCCATATTGCTGTCTACAGTATTTACAGGAATTGCATAAACATCCTGAAGTCATTTTAACAAGAATAAAATAGAACATTATTCAACATTTGTAACTTCTCAGTGTTTTTAATTTATCACCATGGACTTTTCAGTTTTTCTTAGACTGAAGTGAAGGTTATTAAATGAATATTGTTCAAAGTGGATGAAAGTTGGATAATACTCCTTTGGAATATAAAAAAAATAGTAGTAGAGTTTCAGTAGACTACACTGTGAATCTTGTCTTGTATTTCAGTAGTATTTCCAGCTTTAGGCAGGAAGAATATCTATTTTTGTTAGCATGAAATTGTGTTTTTCAGGAAAGCATATATGGAAAACAAGTGGTTCCTAAAACTTTTCTGTTGGTCTGACTCTTTCTTTGCTTGGTTATTACCCAAAAAGGAACATCTTTTTAACAGTAGGACAGTTTCAGGAAGCCTTCTTTTTGGGTTAGGAGATGGACATAAAACTGGTCACAATTCATTGTACTGCCAGTATCCAGGGGAGGGGGGTTGGGGGGG